TGCGGTTGGAAATTAAAAATTGAGGAAAGTAGCAATGCACAACCCGAATGAATGTCAGAACGTTGGATAGATATTCCGTCGCTTATAGCCCGGCGGCTCGAAAATCAGGAAATTCAGGGATAAATTGAAGGGACAAAAAGTCAGTTATAAACAAGTAGGATCGATGAAATCCGGAATGGCTTCGGCGCCTCGTTTCGGAGGTTCACACCCAGTACCCACGTGGGAAGACTGAGCGGTCCACACTTCGAACTTGGGTTTTCAGTTAGACTCAATTGCCACGTTGGGAAGGAAGGTGAGGGAACGGAAAGGTGCATGAGTCAGCAAAACAGTATTGTTTAAAACATGTTTCCGAAAGCGCTCAAGTGAAAGCGGCGGTCAGCAGCTGCGATGCAGAGAGGAAAATGGTTTGTGGGAAGTAGCATGAACCACCATGAATCAAACCGATCAAATTGGACAGCGTGTTCAAAAGTTGTGGCAGGTACGCCGACTTGATCAGACTCGGTATCCCGTGATTGTGGTAGCTTCGTTGAGTGCGGTCCCACAATCACGCCGCACCCCCCTGCCTGTGGAATCTCTTGTGGTGAAAGTGGGGGAAACCCTTGGAACCAGGGTGTGGCACACACACACACCACTGAAAGACATTTAGTGGATCTAATTCAATCTTCATATGCAAAGAAGAACGCCCGGAGTTGACAAAGACACTCCTGGAGCCCTTCTGCCAAGGTCAGCCATGGTGCCTGCAAATTCCTTAGCCTTGATGAGACGGTATGCATGATAATCTGCTTGATTACTATATATACAAACTCCCAGGGGCTTGGCCTGCTACTGGTGCCGAGGTGGTGGCCCTCTCCATGAGGGATGCAAACTGGACAGGAAACTACCGACAGACCCTAGCCCAGCCCTTGGAACTTGGTGTTTTTTTGAACGTAGACCTACAATATTCATCAATATTCAATATCAGGGTGTGACACTGTATGCATCCACAGCCTCATTCAGACAGAGTTGAAAGAGGCTGAAACAGTGAAGTTTTGATTTGAGTGTAGAAATGGCTTGCAAAATCAGTTCTGGCCGGGAAAGCTTGCGAAAGTGTTTTTGCACAGCATGCAGCACGCGCATGCCAAAAGCCGCGAAAGGGTTGCGAAAGGAATTGCGGAAGAAGCGCCCATGAGAACCAAATCTCAGTAGGTTTGAAACAACGCTCAACTGAGGCGGTTGCATCTATGTTTCTCATGCCGTTGCCCTTTGAAGTCATTGTCAGACTCCCAGATGATAATAATGGCAACTATGATGATGAGACGGAAGTATGTTGAGATTGTCATTATTACTACTATCGAATCATATATTATCATTGTCATTCTTGTCGTTATTCTTCTTTGGAGTTTGATACCGCAAATTTTGGACGCAAACCTTAATAACTAGAGAACACCCTACACTTCCCCTTCTTCCTGTACACATCATATAGGTGTCACTGTGGATGCATCGGAGCAGGCTTGAAACCCATCACCCAGCCAGCATACTTGATCTGGCAGCCATCGGACTTCCAATGTTCCAGAGGGACCACAAAAGCCTGAAAGGATCAACCATATTAACATCGAAGAGACGGTAGTTTCTTTGCCTTGAAGGCCTGACTTTGAAACCGAGTAGTAAGACACTGTACACTTAAAACGTTCTGCAATTCCAAGGCAGGCAGCCTCTCATTCTCTTGCGGCCAGCGTCAAGCACAGGTCAGTACCTTGTGCAATTTCCAGAGACTGAAAGGGCTTGAAGCTCATGTCGTGTCAGCCGCAAGAACACGAACAGCTGAAACCATTCTACATGGCATTTTGAAGTTGATTTGATTTAGACACATGACAACAGCTACTTAAACTTAGGCTGTAACTTTCTTGATGTTGACCAATGGACACCTATGGTTTCTTGTTTCTCAGATCTACTACATACATTTTGCAGACAGGATAAACAGCAGGGGTTGTACACTGGAAATGATTGAACATCGGTGTTGTAAGTTGTAATCATTGGCGCTTCCGAAGGATGGTACTACTGCGAGCAAAATTGTTTCTGGTGCCATTGGTGGCGCTGCTCTTCTTGTTGCAGGCCTGAGTATATACATGCACCTAGCGATGATAATATCAAGCCTTGCTGCCTCGTCTTCCAGACTCAGTAACGCATGAGCGCTGCAGCATATAAAGCATTTTTGTGTTTGACATTTAAGCTGTTTTTGACCATGCAACTTCTCCTGCCTGAGCCCTTCGGAGTCCTTGCTATTGGTAGGTTCCTTGCTACTGGCTACCTGATTCCTACCCCCAAGTCTTCGCAGCAGCTTGTGACTTGTCGGAATTGACAAGGTTTACAGCCGAGGAATGTCGGAAGCTCAATAAGCTCCAAGAGCCGACGCTGCATGCATAAACAATAAATCAACACCTCATGCCGGTAGTGATAGATTACGATATGTTTATGTGTGGTGGCATTTTGAAAGAGCTTTGTGACTAGAGATTTGTGCGAAGACTCAGATTGCTGATGCCGATGGAGAGCTCCTGACCTTATTTACCAGGCAATGTGAAGTCATGCGAAGATTGTTTTAAGCTTCCTAGCTCTATCAGCTGACCTAAGTCAGGATTTTCGAGCTCGGCATTCTGATGGTTGCCTTGGGTCAGATTCTCAAGCATATCAATCTTTCTTCTTTTGAACATGTGTGACGTGTGTTTGAATTGCCACTATCGCAGGCTAGTTCACAATTTGACATAGTGGACCCTTGCAGGCAACTGCAAAAACAAGCACATTAAAATCAGGGACACAGGCAAAACACATTCTGAATGAATTTGAAATAATCTGCAACAACAACGACCACGAGAAGCGCATGACATGGAAGATGGAGTGGAAGGGGTAAGCAGCACAAATGCGGCATCCAGAGGACAAAAGCATGAAAGAGAGAGAAGGATGATGTGATGTAACACGCAGATTTACTTTGTTGGTGGGGCATTGTGCTATTTAGTACTCGTAGATCCTGACTTTGTGGAATTTGTCTTGAGGAGGCAATCATTCCATATACAAGATTGCCAGTCCAAGTTGCAAGAATCGTTCATACGGTATTGGTTTGAACCTTTTATTTCTTGTGCAGGAGCGTTATCCTAAAGTTTGTCTCCAAAAACTTCAAGCCCTCCACCAACATCCACCAGTTCGATTTACGTGTAGTTTCTTCCCATGATTTGGGGTATTTGTACTTTGTGTGTGCGCTTGAATGAGGGGGCGCGGTTCAAAACTACGTTTGATCCAGTCAAGAGCATGTCAAAGCTGCTGATTTTGTTTTTCATGATCAGACAGGACGGACGAACAAGTTTCCACATTTCTTCCATTCGGCGAGCGAGCAGGACGCTGGAACCGCTGGAACCGGACAGCGCGGTCACAGACCGAGGGTCAAGGCGACCAAGACGGCCAAGGCGGCCAAGACGGCCAAGGCGGCCAAGACGGCCAAGGCAAAGTGATTTGCCTGCATTTGAAAAGGTCTTCGAAGGGCCTTAGAGGTCTTGGCCATGTAAGTTTCTTGCTTCTATGCAAAACTGTTATTCTATTCATGGATTTTCTTCATTGTTTCTTCATTGATATTGCTCTTGTTATTCCTTTTTGTTCACTCATTTTCTTCATTTTTTGCTTTTTCTTCTTTAGAGCTTCTTGCTTTCTTTCTTCATTTTATAATCCAAGAACAGGGGGCTCCAAAAGACCAAAGATGTGTCGGTTTCGTCAGGCCATGCATGGCGCCGGGCCCGCGGAGATTTGAAGGTTCCCAGTAAAGAACATGAGGGCGAGACAATGTGAGACATCTAACAAGCAAATCTGTTGCTGTCCACTATAACTATTCAAGTTTTTTTGAAGATGTTTTGAAGATTGAAGTGTCTTTTTCTTGCTTTCCTGCAGGACACACGACTTGAAGAAGCCATTCCAAAACAACATGTTTTTCTTCTTCCTAAGTTATACGTTATAAGCTCCATGTGTGAGCTCGCATGCAGCTTGCTAGCAGGAGATCGACTTGCCCACTAGGGAGATTGAGGCTGGGCAGCATGCAAGAGGTAAATGATTGCTGCTTATGATCGGACTGGTGCAAATAAGAAACTCGGCAGAGGATAGCCAAGTGCTGAAAGTGCTGAAATTGGATGGAGCGAAGCGGCCTGGCGTAGGCACTGTTCGGGGAAGACGCTGTAAGACGCATTGTCGGTTCCTCTTTCGCACTGGTCAAGGCGCTCCAGCTTCTATCAGCCTAAAGGTTGCACTATAATACATATTATCTCAATCTAACCTGTTTGTAGCCAGTCTCGAACCTGTTTTCACCTACATCATGTGGTGGCAGGTGTATTTGTGTGGCCCTTCAGGCCTGTCTTTGTGTGCAGGTTTCGAGCCCTGCCAGGCTGTTGCTTGTATATTTTTTTGCCTGCTCTTGCTCATGCCTGGGCATTGCGTTGGAGTGGCTTCGGTTGCGATGCGGGTGGCTCCCTCCGGTGGTGGCGTTGCGTGGTGGCTCCAGGCTTGCCACTCATTGGGGAACAGGCAATTCCATCCTTGCCACCTCGACGCAAAGCCAAGCTGCCTGTCACGGAGGTTGTCATTTTCCTCTGCAAATTCCCTGTACCAAACACGACCTAAACTCCACGAGTGGCCCCACCACGTGAGTATTTGTGTATGTTGTGCAATGTAACCTGGGCAGCCCCATGCAATCGTGAAAGCTAGCACTTGCAGCGGCATCTGTGCTTGCTATAGCAAGGATTGTGAGCGGCGCTAGCCGTTCTCACCCTCCTACAGCCAGGGCCATCATCATCCCTTTCAACTCACCTGTGGCGAAAGAAAGAATGCATTTGTGTTCTTAATGCTATTTGAACAAGGTCCATCCCCTAGCTTGAATTGAAAGTAGCACCCCTTTCAAATGAACTGAGATATATACCTAAATTGCAACTTCACTGACTGAAGGAGTTAAACCAAGGGCAACCGAAGTAAGAGTAAGTAAGGACAACACTGCCAGCTTTCGCTCACCCCTGTCGCGGCTTGGTGATGCGATGCCTCAGCGCAATGAAGTGCAGTCTAGTGCAGCTTACGAAAAGGGGATTTGTATAATAAGTTGGAGACCATCGCTTCTAGGTTAGAGGCCATTGCTCTTGGGTTGGAAATGGAGGCCATCGCTATTCGGTTAATCGTCACAGCTGCAAGAACCGCACGTCACCGCCTTTTGGCGGCACGACGAGAAACTGCCTGAGTAGGTAACATATGTAACGTTGTGCAGTGGAACCTGGCATGGTACATCATACTGCAGGGTATGAACAAGTGTAGTTTGCCATGTGAATAGGTGTAAATTCTGTGTAGTGCAACGGAATTTACCGGAGGGCAAAGTAAGGCAGCACAATGCAACGGTATGCAACATTGTCCAGGACAATGGCATGTTGAGTATGTAACCCAGGATTTTTGAGTGGTGTAGTGGCAATGTATTGTCACGTAACTTTATGGTACGGTATTGTGATACAGTATGCTCGACAACATGCTTTTGTGTGAGGCTGCAGAGTGAGACTACGGAATGGTCTTGAAATGCCACAACTTGGCCTTGGAAGTGGTGGGCTCGAAGGTAAAGAAGGTCGCGAAGCCATTTGCACTGCGTTGCGAGCAGGCGCACAAGGGCCGGTTGAATAAGACATTTCTGACATTACATTACTGTATTTACCTCTTTTTTCCCCAACCGATCTGCAAACCTGGTTGGTGGTGTTTTCGGAACACCTGGCCACTTGGTCTATCGTGCAAGCTTTCGGGAGGCTACCGACTGATCGATACAGCGCTCTTCTACAGGATTGGTTTGGTTCATCGCGGCATGAACGTTGTTTGATGTCTTGGATTTCGAGGACAGAGACCGAGATCGCTGCTGGAATGCGGATGGCTGGCGTAAAGCGTGATGAGGTGTCAAGTGCAAGTGCAAGCTCGGTCAAACTTTTAGCGGTTCAAACATGGGAACATATTCAAGCATGTGTCGCAAAGTGCAGTGTATTCTTGCGTTCTATAATTAATCCCTGCCGGGCTGCCAGGTTTTCCTTTGCACAAAGGTTCTGCAGAAGGCCCACGCAGCTGATGCCCAGGTGGAAATGGATGCAAAGGCTCGCTCTCAAAAGAGTTTAATGAGTTTGCCAGGTGCGTGACTCTCTGAAGGAGAGCCTTCGAAACTTGGGCAGTGCTGGACTTGGAACGAAGCAAGCAAATGCACTGATAGCAGATGAAGAGGTGGTGCGTTTGTGCTTTTTGGCATGGCACCAACAACTCAAAGTGAGCAGAGCACCAAATTGAAAATTGCAAGTTTGCTCTGGACACTCCAAAAAGTCTCACTGCTTGTCAAAGCGAACCATGTCGTGGCCAATGCTGTGTCATCTAAGCAAACTACGTTGACCTGTACATCATCCACAATCCCAGAGCTGGAAGGATCAAGGACGATCGCACTCGAAATTTATAGTTGCAAACGGATGTTGATACGTGCTTGACTTATTATCCTTTTGTTTCTACTCGCTCTGAAGTATTTTGCCAATGTTCTCGCGAAGGAAGTTTGGTCTTTGCTACTGAAATTGCGTGAAGAGGGACTTTGCAAGGCTGTTGGTGTCTCCAACTTCGGTGTGGCACAGCTCGAAGGCTGGGGAGAGAGGGAAAGGAGAGAAAGGTCTTTTTTGAAATGTAAAACATGAAATGGCAATCACTTGTCATAAAGGTGTGAGCTACCGAATACCGTTGTCCAGGCTCTTTGCTATCTATCCCAGTCCTTTAAGCATGGGCCTTTACACAAATAGTATGTATATAATGCTTCTTGAATACATTTCGCCAGCCAAAATGCAAACATGGTGTACCAGGTTACCATTTTTGTTCAGGTGGTTGGGTGGTATGTATAATAATGTAATGTAATGCAAAATAATATAATGTAAAGTAATGTAAAGGCATGTAATTGTACGTGATGTTATGTAATTCATTCATGACTTGTCATGACAGATTTTAGCATTTTTTCTTATAGGCTCGAGTGGTAGGAGAATTTGTGTTGAGGAGATGGAGGGCGGTGCTTGCACCCCTGACGCCGAAGAGTCGGCCCAGATCCTCAACCTCCTAACCGGCCCAAAGTTGGCGGTGAGTCAAGGGTCAAGAAGATCCTGAATCAGCAGCTCCTAGGTCGCCTAGCGATAGACTGACGAACAGCTCTGAGTCTGCAGGAACCTTGTTGGCTCGACGTGCGCAAATTGCCACATGGATGCCGCCTGACGCCCTGGTACCCTGTCGTTGGTACCCTTACCAAGATCTTCCAGCTGTTCCATCGATCAATCCCACTCTGCGCTCGCGCTTGAATTGCCGCTCCAATGCTTCAAACGAGAAGTCGGCAAGTATTGCCCCGAATTCAGCTTTGTGAAACCTCTCACCGCGCTCCAAGGAATTCCTGTAGAGCACCTCAATATGGGAAAGGCCCCCTGTCATTCGCCCACACTGGGTCGAACAGGGTGGTGTAACTATGACGTACTATGACTATAGAAGATGCCTTGAGCAATCATCCGCAACCGTTTCTTCTGTACAGAAGGAATTGTAAAATCTGTCCTCCGACTGGCCGGGGTGTCCAATTCGGTGATCTCCACACGGACACCCAATCGTTGCGCTTTTTCTCTTCGCAAATCTGCAACGGAGTTGCGCCTCTTCCTTCTGGAAAACACGTAGAGAACTTTCAAAGCAGCTCACTTCGTTCCTGCTGTGTCAGGAGCAGCCTCTCGTCTGTTCTTCGGATTGCGTTCGCGCGTCGGATGTTTCTGTGAAAACAATATCCCGCATACATGGCGGTATTTGCGTTTGCTGGCCTTGCATATTCAAGACGCTTCGCGTCTGCCGAAGTTAGTGAAATGCAAGTAGCCATCTAGGCGCCAGGTTGGGGACAAGTGCAGGCGCCAGGTTGGCTGTCCTACGGATGCGTTGGAGCCATCTTGGGGCCAACTTCGTCTACCTTGGGGCCCATAATATGGTGATATAACGTCGGCCTTGCCAAAAGCCATCCAACAATACACCTCCAAAACGCTGTGTGCGAACTATTTTGGCTCCAAATGGGGGACAAGTCCAGCCATCTAGGCGCCAGGTTGGCTGTCTTACGGCTGCGTCAGTAGAGGATCCCATGAACCACAAGCTTGAGACCTTGTTGCGCCCGGAGCCAAGGAAGACAAGAGGAAGAGGTCGTGGAAAGGGAGCAGGGCGCCAAGGGAAACCTAAATCACCAGTGAAGCTATTTTGCGAGACGCTGCCTGCGCAGCCGCATCAGGTCCTGCAGTGAGGCTGCAGCCTGGGCCTCGCGCACTCAAAGAGCGCACTAGCGCTGAAGACTGGCTGTTTGGGCCACACCCTGACCGGGGTCGCGCCCTTGAGGTGGCTGTGCTCGATGACCTGAAGGCAGTCCCTGCAGCAGCGCTTTCAGCGTTTTTTCTTCCCGCGTCGTCCTTCATCGTCTTTCGGGACCAAATGCGTTTTCCACTGTCCCCAAGAAGCATTTTCAAACGAGAGCCACTGATGACACCACCTTCCCAAAACGCTTTTTGAAACGAAAAGAAAAAGCATATTTATAGTTGACTCACTGACAGCCAGATTCGCAAGCAAGTGGAAGCTGAGATGACACACTATGAGCGCCTGAATTTCACAGGAGAAGGCCCTTTGTCGTGGTGGCGCGGGCATCAGGGACGGATGCCAGCGCTCGCCCAGTTTGCGCAAGCAGCTCTTGGAGTGCCTCGCTCCAGCGCAGCTTTGGGACGGCTTTTCTCCAAAGCCGGTTTGTTCATCACCAGGCGCCGTCCGCGCCTGAAGCCGGGCCGCGCCAGTGACATGTTGTTTGGGCACGCCAATGTGCAAATGCTTCTGTGACCTCGGACAGTCCTCGAAAAAACGTTGCTGATCTCGGGGCAGGGCAGAATTACGGTTCGTTCGTATTTTGTTCCGGTTCGGCTGTGTTGGGAAATTGACGGTTTTCATGATTCGGCTGATGAAAATTTTCGGTTCTTGACATTCGCGAGGTTTCGGTTCCGAACGGACGGTTCCGAATCGATTCGGGGCCCTTCCTTCAGCAGAGGGAAAGTCTGCGTAAGCTTTGCCTCTGCCTCTACTCTATGGTCTGACTCTGACTGTGGCCCTGCAGTTAAATGGGTGACTTGCTGATGCTGACAACTTGCAACATGTGCTGTTTTTTGTTGGGCACGTCGCTAGATGTCCCCGACCACAAGTCCTTGCAAGTAGCGACAATGGACATTCTTTGGACACTGCTCGTCAGGATTGCGGCAAGCTGGGCTGGAGCTTCCTGAAGTGAATCAAATCGAGGCGTTCCATTTCCGCAAAGAGGAGGTAGAACGAACAGATGAAAGGCTCTTATATAGCTTCGTCAGGGGGAGGAATGGGGTGACAGCGTTTTGAATAAAATGTTTGTCATTATACTAGCATAGGGTATTCAGTTTGTTCATGTCTGCGTGTTAGCCAAACAGGGTGACATTCAGAAGGTGCCATGGCCTCAGGTGCACTGTTGGCGACAACTACCAGAGGTGACGGCCTACCATGCGCAGCGTGGCTACTTGGTGAGCTTTCCAGAAACCCATGTACACAACGAAGTGAGACTCCAGCAGAAACATTTTGCTCCAAATGCGCTGTTCGTGTTGAGCAGTTATAGGACTGGATAAGCCCACAAGTGATGCATGCCCAAGAACAAGTGTAGTCAAACTGTGAGTGAGAGCTGTACCCTCAAAATGTACTTGAAAAAAGTGATGAGTGAGTGGAGAATCCCTATCGAAGCATTTGTCTTAAAAGAAAACAAGTTGCGCAAGTCAACCCCGAGGTGGTTAAAGCCGACAAAAACCTTCCTTTTGTGGCTTGAAGCAGAGTGTTTCTCCATGCCGGGGGCAATCATGGATTTTGTTTCCGTACGCCGTATGCGACGTGTAAATCCATGCGAAAGCGCAAGATTTCCCAGCGCAGGATACCAAGCGCTCGTACCAACAGCAGAAGCCGATGATTTCACTACAGATACAAAGGACATCAAAGGACCAACAGCGATGAAGAAGGATCCACACAACTCGGGGCTAACTTAGGTGTGTGGGGGCTAGCCGCTAGCCAAAACCCAAGCCTCCGCCAAGTTGTGGGGAATGAATTGTGGTGGAGGGTGCCAACCTCCCCAAAACATCCCAAAACAAGATTCAAACCAGAGGTGCAACCAACCAAGGCTCCCCGAAAAGCAAAAGCAAGCAAAAGCAGGCGCTGGCAATGCGCACTATTTGTGCATGCAATGAAGCGACATCGATCTGCAATTAGCGTGAACGACGAAACATATCAAAAAGCGCCAACAAGCAATGGCACTAGATTTCCCACATCGAGGGTGTTTCATAAAGAAAGCACACTCTGCTTACGTGGATCAAACTGTCGTTTTTGCGGATCCCTGCTCGGCCTGCTCGTCGCTCTTCCTCCACCCTATCCTGGTCTGTCTCGATCAAACACATGGTCTCCGACCTACGAAATTGCGAAACATCTCTGTGCTCATATGTTTCGTCAAAGGATCTGCCAGCTGCTCCCATTTGGGCAGCCAGCGAAGTCGCAGGATTCTTCACCACGAGGAGGTCGAGAGCCACCTGCTTTTCACTTGCCATGGAACCAGTCTTATATATAAGTGTGGTCACTCAATATTCTATCCACTGACAACTGCTGCCTCCAGTCAGGGTGCTGCGCCAATGTCTTCCCGGATAAAACTTAGAAGAGGAAGATGCCATTCCAACGTAGGGAGGGAAACATTTAGAGGAGGAAGATGCCATTGCAACCGGAGGTTTGCGCTTAGAGGAGAAAGGTGCCATTCCAAGGTAGAGGAGGCACGCCGACGGTGCACTCCCGTTGTGCCCCACCCGGCTTGCTGCATTGGAATGGCTCCTTTACCTTGGAATGGCGCCTGTCCCCTCTAAGTGTGAACCTCCGGTGGCCTCACAAAAAGTGTGACGCGTTGGAATGGCACCTTCCTCCTCTAAATTTTAGCCTAGGGGTGGCTCGCACAAGGCGCGCGCCGTTAGCGTGGCCGCCCTGTTCTCAATTTGACCCTTTGGTGAAACGAAAATCATTGCTATGTCGAGGTGGGCCGACGTGCGCGCGTCCAATCTGCCAAGGCAAGAAACCCAATTGAGCGGAACGTGTTTCAACTCTGTCTGAGCCCGGTCTTAACTCGTGCGCCAGCGCAGTAGCCTTCCAAGGAGAAAAACGGAAAAAAGTTGAAACTGTCTGAACTCTGTCTTAACTCTGCGCGCGCTCCGTGCACGCTGTGATGTGCCAAGGTATGAAGCCCCAAAAAGAGGAAGATTATTGACCACTGTTTGTACTCAACCCTTCTCCGCCTTAACTCCCACGCGTCGCGTAAACGATGTAATCTGCCAAGGTAAGAGCACCAAACCAGTGGAAAATGTTTTAACTCTTGTTTGCCTTCGCTCCGTCTTCACTCCGGGCGCGCGAGTGCTGCGCAAAACATGGAACATGATTGAACCCTGTCTTAACTCTGTCCGCGCATTGCATGAGCTCTGTAATCTGCCAAGGTAAGAGCTCCGAAAACATAGAAAATGTCTGAGCGCTGCCTCTACTCTGCCTTTAACCCGCTCTCAACTCTACGCGCGGTCTCCACTCTGCGCGCGCGCGTGCGCGGCGTGAGCGCTGTATTCCGCCAAGGTAAGAACTCCGAACAAAAGTGGAACATGTCTTTATTATGTTTTTGATTATTTTTGTGATCTGCCAAGGCAAGAGCCCCCAAAAGTTGAAAACATTGGAACTCTGGTTTAACTTTCTCTCAACTCTGCGCGTGCGCGTCGCGTGAGCACTGCAATCTGCCAAGGTAAGAGCTCCAAAAAAGTGGAACAATGCTTGAACTCTGTCCCAGCTCTGCCTTTGCCTCGGTCTTAACCCTGCGCGCACATGGCGTGAGCGCTGTAATCTGCCAAGGGAAATGCCCAAAAAGAGTGAAGGATGTTTTAATTCCGTATTTGCTTGGTCTTAACTCATCGCGTGAACGCGTAACCTGCCAAAGTAAGAAGCCAAAAAGAGTGGGGACTTTTTAACCTTGTCTTGACCCGGTCTTTAATATGCACGCGCATTGCGTGAACGTTGTAGTCTGCCAGGGTAAAATGTTTGAGCTTTGTCTGGGCTCTGTCCTAACCAACTCCGCTTTGCCTGAGCGCTGTAATCTGCCAAGGGAAGAATGAACCCCCAAAATGTGAAAAATGACTGAACTCTGCGCGCATTGCGTGAGTGCAGTCATCAGAGTTCACTCTTTGTTAACTCTGCGCGCGCATTGCGCGAGTGAGTCATCTGCCAAGATAAGGGCCAAAAAGTGGAAGATGTTTTAACTCTGTGTTAACTCTGTCTTAACTCGTTGACGCAACCACACCATGGTTCAACGTAACCAAAATTGGTCGACGTAGTACAATCATGTACAATCTAATATTGCGACAAACGCGTAATATGTCAGTTGTTTGCGCGTTGAAAAACCTGGTCGGTCCCACCAAAGCCCTTGCGAAGGTATAGTTTTGTATGCCCTGACAAAGGAGGATATGTTGGTCCATCGTCCATGGACCTTTTGGAGGCCAAAGACATGCGTGCGCTGGTGGTTTCCGTCACACATTGCGCTGCGCCTCTTCAAAATTTCTGTCTCACCTCTCAAGGTTGTTCTCTTTCTCAGGTATTCACCATCTGAATCTTCAAGTTGTGCGTGCGCATATCGCATGTAGTGCCTACCATTCCTTCAATCTTGGATCAATGGCTCCTTCCATTCCTGTGATGATTTTGGATTCTCGCCCAAAAGTGTTCCTCCTTTATACGATTCTGTTGGATGCTTGCGCCCCTCACGAAGCGTAGCAAAGTCTGGTGCTCCTCTCTATTTGAGACCGGCTGGACCCTCTGAATGCTGTAAGGGGGACCAAGGCCAAAACTAAAGTCCGGGGGCGCCCAATCTAAATACAGGGCTTCCTGGTAGTGATTCCTTGAGAAGGTTCCATCTTGGCAAGGTCCAATTACGCGCCAGGATGCCATCAAAGAGTTTGCACCGCTCCAAGCAAACACCTTCATATGAGAGACTCCATCTTGTCCTTGATCTTCTTATTCTCCTGGCGGAAAACTTCATGAACGCCGAATGCTATTGACTTGCACGCTTATATCTTCCCTCCTCATGTTCATTGGCCTCAATGGTTCTTTGTCTAGCAGCCTCTTCCTCTGAACCACTTGAAATCCACGCCGATTGTTGATCTGTGTCTTCCTATGTCTTCCTTATCGCTGTTTGTTACCTGTTTTTTCGGGCGCCGGCCTGGATTCCTAGGTCATGCTGCAAATGCTCAGCAACTGTATTCCTCCTTCGCTCTTTGTCTCCTCTTCAAGTTCCTCTCTTCCATCTTCCTCAGCCTCAAGCGACACAAAGGAGTGACTGGGGTTGCTCAATCAGGATCTTCCTCTTCCCATGCACCTCTGAAGACGTCCGTTGCCCCTCATATTGATCCCCCTTCATATTCAGTCAACTGCACACCTGGGTGCCGAGTCCATGACATGTTAGCACCATGGGCCTGAGCTCCAATTCTTTCTGTCCAAAGCGGAACGCGGCTTGCCACCTGCTCAGTTCTGAAATCTCTTTCCACCACTGACATTCTGCTCACATCCCAGGCTCCATGAATCCGTGGCTGGTCGGCAAAGTCTGCCTGTGAAACTCAAGGACTTCAATACCCTCTGCAGCTCCTTCCTTTGTTTGTCTCGACATGCTGGGCAAAGCGCCCGGCGCTTCATTTGACTGAAACTTCACTGTTCTGGGCTTGCTCCTGTTTCTTTGTCGCTAAAGCTGCTCCTGCCGGCGCATTCCGTGGCCCTTAAAGCTGAATGGCTTGGAAGCTGTGGCGTCTCCAAGCCTCGTCTTCCTTCTTCACACTTTTCTTCTCTGTCATGTGAACCTCAACCTCTTGCTCTAGCCCGCACTCCGCGCACTGACTACAGAACTTCTGCCCTTTTGGAACTGGCTATGTGCAATCTAAACATTGCCCTTTGTGATTGCCCTCTCTGCTCCTCCAGCCATAAACGTAAAGTGAGCTGTTTGAGCAACTTTCTTTGCTCCTCCAGGCGTGACGTTCGGGCAACAGCTATCTCATTTCAGTGCCCGATCCTTTCCGCAGCTTGAACGCGCGCTGAGTCTTTTCTTCGCCTCCAGACTCTGGCCATTCTTGTTGACCTCCTGCCCTGTTCTTCCTGCAGGCTTCCAACCTCTATTCTTGCTGGCCTCAGCTGTCTTCTCCTTGGCCTTCCAGCCGGCGCCAAAGGACTTCATCCCCATCGTATTCTGCTACCTCCTCCTCATCTTCTTCTCACTCGGTGATCCTCTAGACCAGGCTGGTTCTTCATCCTCAGCCTCCTGCTCCTCAATCTCAAGCTCTTCTTCTGCTTCTCTGCCATCTGCGTAATGTGTATAGTGTGTTTTCTTAAGAAGACCTTCTTATACAACGGTGCTTTGGGCTTTCTGTCGTCTTCTTTTGTCCTCGGCTGTTCAATACACCGCTCATCATTACACCGCTCATCATACACCACTCATCATACACCGCTCATCATACACCACTCATCATACACCACTCATCATAGACCACTCATCGTACTCATCATACACCACCACTCATCATACACCACTCATCATACACCACTCATCACACACCACTCATCATACACCACTCATCATACGCCACTCATCATACACCGCTGATCATACGCCACTCATCATACACCACTCATCATACACCACTCATCATACACCACTTATCATGCACCACTCATCATCCAGTTAGCTCTTCAAGAGCTCTAGCTCCAGTTAGCTCTAGTTTCAAGAGCTCTAGCTCCAGGTAGCTCTAGAGTTTCAATAGCTCTAGCTCCAGTTAGCTCTAGATTCAAACCTCCATGTAATTCGTGGCAGGTGCAGCACTTTGTGAACCTCGAGGTGCAGATTTCGTGGCAGGCACAGCGCTTTGTGAACCTCCATGTGCAGATGTCGTGGCAGGCCCAGAGCTTTGTGAACCTCCATGTGCAGATGTCGTGGCAGGCGCACCGCTTTGTGAACCTCGATGTGCAGCGCTTTGTGAACCTCGAGGTGCAGATTTCGTGGCAGGCACAGCGCTTTGTGAACCTCCATGTGCAGACTTCGTGCGGACGCGCGAAATGCTGTGTTTTTCGATAGAAAGGGTGGCTCCGAAGCTGGCAAGTCAAGCTTTGCGGAACGACGTGTGCGAGACGGTCTCGGGTCACGCTCGGATCATTCTCGGATCATGCTCGGGTCATGCTCGGATCATGGTCGCAATCGTCCTTCCATTGCGATTTGAGTTTTCAGTTGTTTCTTGAAGTGCAGATTTCGTGGCAGGCACAGCACTTTGTGAACCTCCATGTGCAGATTTCGTTGCAGTCGCAGCACTTTAAGTGAACCTCCATGTGCAGATTTCGTGGCAGGCGCAGCGCTTTGTGAACCTCAAAGCGCAGATTTCGTGGCAGGCGCAGCGCTTTGTGAACCTCCATGTGCAGATGTCGTGGCAGGCGCAGCGCTTTGTGAACCTCGATGTGCAGAATTCGTGGCAGGTGCAGCGCTTTGTGAACCTCCATGCGCAGATTTCGTGGCAGGCGCAGCGCTTGTGAACCTCCATGTGCAGATTTCGTGGCAGGCGCAATACAAAATGCGTTTTCGAGAGATAGCGGACGCACGAAATGCTGTGTTTTTCAATCCTATAAGGGTGGCTCCGAAGCTGGCAAGTCAAGCTTTGCGGAACGACGTGTGCGAGACGGTCTCGGGTCATATTAGATTTTTCAGTTGTTTCTTGAAGTGCAGATTTCGTGGCAGGCACAGCGCTTGTGCAGATTTCGTGGCAGGCGCAGCGCTTTGTGAACCTCCATGTGCAGATTTCGTGGCAGGCGCAGCGCTTTGTGAACCTCCATGTGCAGATCGTGTCAGGCACAGCACTTTGTGAACCTGAAAGTGCAGATTTCGTGGCAGGCCCAGCGCTTTGTGAACCTCCATGTGCAGATGTCGTGGCAGGCACAGCGCTTTGTGAACCTCGATGTGTCAGATTTCGTGGCAGGCGCAGCGCTTTGTGACCCTCCATGTGCACATTTTGTGGCAGGCGCAGCACTTTGTGAACCTCCATGCGCAGATTGCGTGGCAGGCGCAGCGCTTTGTGAACCTGAAAGTGCAGAGTTCGTGGCACGCACAGCGCTTTGTGAGCCTCCAGGTGCAGAGTTCGTGGCAGGCGCAGGAACCGCCATGTGCAGATTTGGTGGGAGGTGCAGCGCTTTGTGAACTTCCATTGGCAGAATTCGTGGCAGGTGCAGCGCTTTGTGAACCTCGAGGTGCAGATTTCGTGGCAGGCGCAGCGCTTTGTGAACCTCCATGTGCAGATTTCGCGGCAGGCGCAGCGCTTTGTGAACCTCCATGTGCAGATTTCGTGGCAGGCGCAGCGCTTTGTCAACCTCCATGGGCAGAATTCGTGGCAGGCGCAGCGCTTTGTGAACCTCAAAGCGCAGATTTCGTGGCAGGCGCAGCGGTTTGTGAACCTCCATGTGCGCATTTCGTGGCAGGCGCAGCGCTTTGTGAACCTCCACGTGCAGATTGCGTGGCAGGCACAGCACTTTGTGAACCTCCATGTGCAGATTTCGTGGCAGGCGCAGCGCTTCGTGAACCTCGATGTGCAGATTTCGTGGCAGGCGCAGCGCTTTGTGAACCTCCATGTGCAGATTTCGTGGCAGGCAGAGCACCTGTGGAGCTGGAAGCTGGGCGACTTTGTAGTACAACTTTAGTACGCGAAGTATCTGAAGAGCTGGGAGATGAGAAGTATCTGGGGAGCAGGAAGATGAGAACTGGCGACTTTCTAGTACAACTCTAGTGCGCGGAGCAATCTGTGGAGCTGGAAGCTGAGAATGGCGACTTTGTAGTACAACTTCAGTGCGCGGAGTATCTGG